TTTGTAGTAGGAATCATCAGTGTTCTGCACTGCAGGATAAAATTCTGAATTTTAGTTAGTGGAACAATTTGACATGAACAGCAGTGCAGTTTTCATAAAACCATCTCAAGAATACAGTAAAGCAGATGTGCATGGCCAGTTTTCTGTTGTGATGCTSCAGTAGCTTATTCATGTCATGATTTTCTGTGGGGACGGCTTGGGGTTTTGCTGACAGTAATTAAAATGAAGAGGAAATTATCCTTAAACTATACAGGTCTCAAAGCTGCTGCTTCTGCTAATGTAAGTTTTGTGTCCTGATTACAGGGTTGGATGCTAACTAATCATGGCAATAGCTTTGAAAAGTTGAGTGGGTTCTTGGCTAGTTTAGAAGAAGCTGAACTTCCTTGGCTGGTGCAACTGGAATAGTACTAGCTCATGGCTGCAGTATGTCAGGCTTGAGCAGCAAATGAGATTTAAAGCAAAGACCTCTAGTTTTCCATGGCATGTGCTGCTCTGTGCCAAGGCGGAAGGTGTGTTGGGTGGTGAGCGCCCCAGCTTTGCAGGAGAGGTGGTTGGTGCTGTCTGAAATGTTGGTCCTAGAGCTCCTGCTCTGTAGGGGAGCAGGAGTCTTCTGAGGATAGTTCTCAGTAAGACTTCTTTCAAATTGATCTGATCACTTGGCTCCTTCTAGTGAGCTTCAAAAGAAGCCCAACTTGTTTTCCATTGTTGTTTCCTTCCGCTCTGGCCTTCCTATAGGGTGGCAGCTAAAGGTGGATGTACGAGGAGCAAAGGAATCAGCTCCTTTAGTAAGCACCTCTGTTCTAATGGTCTTCATTGGCCGGTGGGAAGAATAAATAATTTCCCAAATGATGTTTTTGGCAGAGCAGGCAGAATATCTGGAGACAGCTGTCTCAATTCCCTGTATAGGGAATCTGAAAAAGACACCCAAGGCCTCCACTAGGGTACAGGAACTGATCCCTGCCAGTGGCTGATGGCTTTTTGTTGGAGATGTGAAACTAAGAACGGCCTTGTAACCCTGCGGCGTTTGTGCCTTGGTTTTAATATCAAAGCGTGTGAATGATATGAATGGAGCTCTTGTTGTCTGAATCAATTTTAGTAAAACTATGAAAGCGTATATCCTGCAAACAAGCTTTCCTGGAAATGCTGCCCAAAATAGGGTGTTTGTGGTGCTGAGAAGATGCCTCRCACCACTCACTAACTGCAGTTGATGTCAATGGTTTGGACAGATATTATGGACATCTCTTCTGTGTTTTCAGTGCTGTTCTAGATGACAACAGCTTCATTGTCTCASATCTTAAGTCTCTCCACACCACTTTATCTTCTGGAGTTGCCAGGTAGTTACCAGCTGCAAAACATGATTCAATTTCATATTTAGAAGGGCAAAAATGACTTTGTGGTGAATGCAAAACCAGCTTCTGATGTGGCTGCTTTGTTTTGAATGTGAAGAAAGTGAGTTCTTTCTCAGTCTTATCCCTGTTTTCTCCTTAGTTCCTGTAGCAGCATCTTGGTAGCTGTGTAAGGCTTTCCATTGAGAACTTGAGACCTGTTACCTGTTCTCTCCCAGCTGATGTAACATGGGAGACTTCAGCCATGGCTTCTGAATGCTTTAAAACTTTCTTTTCGGGCAGAAGAAACCTGCTATGTCCATTCTTGGAGCCTGCATTACTGACAKGAGTGATGTGGGTCATTGCGTTTGTTTCAAGGCAGAAAGGAAGCATCAAAAGCCTGGGGAGGAGGTTAGCTGTGCAAAGCATAGCTAAATCACTGCAACAAAACGTGGAATATGAATGTGTTTCAGCAGGTTTTCTCAGAAGATCCATGTGCCAATCTAGTGTCATTTTAAGAATCCACTTTATGTAATTGCACTAGACCTGGTGCCYAGTTCTTAATCTCTAGAAGACCCTAACTGAAACTTCTGAACAGAACTGCAAAATAGCCTTATGATTGAGTGGAATAGCAGTGATGCTGTTTCTCTTATGTAATATGCTTCCAAGAGGTAGAAATTGTGTTGCTGAATTTTTCTTGGAAAAATTCAATAGAATGACAAGTAACAAAATATCCAAAAATCTGGAAATGAAGGAATTCAAAATGAAGTAATACAAAATGCATATCAAGTAAGGAGTTTCATAAGTTTGCGTATGCCTTAAAGAGTAGAACGAGGAACAACAGTTTTAAACAARCTTAGTAACCAGAAATATCCAGCAGCAGCACTTCTGCAATACTGAATGTAGACCTAGTGCAGAGAGAAATGCTATTACCATAAAATACCTGGCGTCATCAGCCCTCTGCCTTCCCAAACTGAATCTGCACAAACACGCAGTGTGAACAAGGAGAAATGCACTTTTAATGGGAAATCGTATACCATGAATCACTGTCTAAATCGAATAGAGTGAAAAGAATTTTAAAACTTGGTATACTGTCTGTGTGTGTTGGGACTTCTCAATCTTGAGATCTTTCTGAAGCCAAGGACACCTGTAGTCAAGACTCTGGTGGAGGAGGAGAAAGCTGGTCTGGCAGAAAGAGTGCCTGGTGCTTGTATGTGTGCAYGTGTACAGCTGTCTCGTGAAGCTGCCCTTCTCTAGTAAGGTTGCCTGAGAATGGAGGGCAGCTTTCTGGGTGCTGCACGTACAGCTGCGTGGTTTCCCCCTGAGGTGCAGTGTGGTGACTTTCACAGGAGAATTATATACCAAGCTTTATATTCTCTTGTAGCATCATCTCATGTTTTAGGTGGAGAAGATGAAAAGCTGTTTCCAGGCATGTGGTTATAGTGCCATCTTAAAGAGCTCGCAGTTCACTGAATCACAGAATGGTTAAGGTTGGAAGGGACCTCTAGAGATCATCTAGTCCAACCTTCCTGCTCCAGCAGGCACACCTAGAGCATGGGGCACAGGGCGGCATCCAGGCGGGTTTTGAAGACCTCCAGAGTAGGAGACTCCAYAACCTCCCTGGGCAGCTTGTGCCACTGCTCTGTCTCCCTCACAGTAAAGAAGTTTCTCCTCACCTGGAGATGAAACTTCTTGTGCTCCAGCTTGTGGCCATTACCCCTTGTCCTATCGCTGGCCACCAATGAAAACAGCTTGTCCCCTTCCTCCCTGCATTCTCGTTTCCTGAACTTATACACATTAATCAGATCCCCTCTSAGCCGTCTCTTCTCCAGAGAAAACAGGCCCAGCTCACTCAGCCTCTCCTCATACGGGAGATGTTCCATTCCCTTAATCATCTTGGTTGCCCTTCTCTGGACCCTCTCTAGGAGCTCCACGTCCCTCCTATACTGGGGTGCCCAGAACTGAACACAGTACTCCAGGTGCGGCCTCACCAGAGCTGAGTAGAGGGGCAGAATCACCTCCCTTGACCTGCTGGCAACGCTCCTCCTGATGCAGGCCAGCATCCCATTGGCCTTCTTGCCCACGAGGGCACACTGCTGCCTCATGGTTAACTTAGTGTCAGCCAGGATTCCCAGGTCCCTCTCCGTGGAGCTGCTTTCCAGCAGGTCGACCCCTAATCTGTACTGATGCCTGGGGTTATTCCTCCCCAGGTGCAGGACCCTGCACTTGTCCTTGTTGAACCTCATGAGGTTCCTCTGTGCAGTCTCCAGCCTGTCCAGGTCCCTCTGGATGGCAGCACAGYCCTCCGGAGTGTCGGCCACTCYACCCAGCTTGGTKTYRTCTGCAAACTTGCTCAGGGTGCCCTCTGTGCCCTCGTCCAGGTCAYTGATGAACAARTTGAACAGCACCGGACCCAGTACTGACCCCTGGGGGACACCACTGGYCACAGGCCTCCAACTGGACTCGGCCCCATTTATCACCACCCTCTGAGCTCTGATTCTTTCTGTTCTATTCTGTTCTTTCTGTTCTATTCATTAAACTCGCTGGAAGCAGTATTTTTGGTAGCTGTATGCCATATTGTTTAAAAAAAAAAAAACTTTTCAGACCAACCAAGCAATATAATTCATATTCTCTTACAGTTTTCTCTTACAGTTACAGTTTTACGCTAGGAGATGAACACACACAGATCTGGGATTCTTCTGGCACTTGAATAACTTCTGTGCTGTATAACTTCTGGGGGAAAAAGATGTTTGCAGCTGAAGGGTCTCCCAAGTGCAGAGAAACTGGAAATGTCTGACCGTTCCCCTCAGAGGGCTTTTAATTTGAAAGCCTGGTAAAAATACAGCATGTTGTTAACTGTTGGTCACTAGAGGTGATGGGATAGGAGAAAGATGGTAGGAGTGAACTATGGTGGACTAAAGTTGCTGTAGGTTTAAAAGGAAATCATTAAAAAAAAAAAAATAGGAAAAAGGGAAAGTTTCTCTCTTCACTGGAATCTCTGTATTTGTCTATAAACAACTCTGATTAAAGCCCTAAATCSTACTGCTTTTGACAGGCAGGTGGCTTCAAAACGCTGAGTGCTGCTGGCTTTCAGCGAAGCGCCGTGCGCTGCGGCTCTGCCTGGGGCTGGGCTGGGCAACTGCTTCTCCTCGGGCTTCGGTTTATGTGGYGGATTTCCTCTGAACTGTAAATGTCCTCTCAACTCTCCAACACCTGTAAGGGTATTCCTAAATGTTCAGAAAAAAATAGAAATGTACAGTGGCAGCCAAGCCTGAGCTGGTGAAATAAATTTGCAGTTATTTTTGACTAACTGTTTAAAGAGACTRGCAACTATTGGTTAAAGTAATTCGAGTTCTGTGGCAGGGGGATATGGAGACTGTTTCTTTTAATGTCCCAAATATCTTGATTTGAACTATCTGGGTTTCTTTGCAATTCACAAGTGCTGTCTTTTCAAGCTTGTTCCTCGGTTTTTATGAATTCTCTAATAAGCAAGGAATTTTGTGTTATAAAATGCAGAGTAAAACTGAAGTAGCCTTAGCTTTTACAGTTGTTGGCACTTTTTTGAGATAAGCTTAAATATTACAGTAGCTTATCAGTGTGGTCTGCTTGTGACTTTAATTTTGTGGAGAAGAAATAGTATCACTTAATTTCTAACAGTCTCTTTTTCTCCAACAGGAACTGTTCTTATCAGAAGCAGTAATGGCCAGCTAATGCTAGTATCTCAACAAGCAATAGCACGAGCACAGTGCCAGCCACAAAATAAAACCAATGTAAGACCAGCTGTACCTACCAGCACACCTGCAGTCAGAATATGTGCTGTACAGGTAACTTTTCCAACAGCTTTAAAATGAAGTAGCTGCATGTTATGATCTTGTTCTGTTGTGGGTTTTTTTGTTTTTTTTATGTAGTTATACGAGGATCGGGGTGGGGAGGAGGATGTGAAACTCGCAAAAAAATGTTCACCAAGTATCTGAAAAGTTTCTGAACAGACTTCATGGTCAGCATTGCAGTATTTTTTTAACATAAATTTTAACATAAATTTTCTGGTGCACTTTGCTTTTGCAGTATGAAAACATCTCTCGTATGAAGAGAGGCTGAGCGAGCTGGGCCTGTTTTCTCTGGAGAAGAGACGGCTCAGAGGGGATATGATTAATATGTATAAGTTCAGGAAGGGAGAATGCAGGGAGGAAGGGGACAGGCTGTTCTCACTGGTGGCCAGCGATAGGACGAGGGGTAATGGCCACAAGCTGAAACACAAGAAGTTCCGTCTCCAGGTGAGGAGGAACTTCTTTACTGTTAGGGTGACAGAGCAGTGGAACAGGCTGCCCAGGGAGGTTGTGGAGTCTCCTWCTCTGGAGGTCTTCAAAACCCGCCTGGATGCCACCCTGTGCCACATGCTCTAGGTGTGCCTGCTTGAGCAGGAAGGTTGGACTAGATGATCTGTAGAGGWCCCTTCCAACCTTAAATATTCTGAAATATTCTGAAATATTCTGAAAAAACCTGCTGGCAGATATACATGGTATAGTTCCAATTCAGGATTCCTTCTTTTAGGAATGATGACACAGAACTGCCACCTTGAGTTGTTGCAATGGAAAGCAAGGTGCCCCTGCTCGAACAGGGGGATTGGACTGGGTGATCTCTAGAGGTCCCTTCCAACCTCAGCCATTCTGTGATTTGCAGATACCGAGTGAGGCTTAGAATATTTCTGAGCAGTTTCCTGGGTCCCTAGCATGTTCATCTTTTTCCACAAAAAGGAGTCTTTCTGTTTCCTTCTCTTCTTGTAATGTAGTCAGCACTTAAAATAAGAAGGGGAACACACACAAATAAATCTGTGTAGTTTTTGATAACATAATTTAACCTTTTTATTTTGACTAGGAATTGTGTCCAAATGTCTTAATCTATTTTCTCATATAGAATTGGTAGACAGTTTTGTTGAAAAYTGTTTTTAACTATATGGGTTAAATGTGTTATGGGTGGATGTTGTCTTTTTTATTGGACAAAAGTAGTTATTAATTTCATTATTTTATCATTGACTTGTTGGACGATTGTTCTACGCACCCTATTATCTTTATTTGAAGAACTCTGGCACCCCATTACTAAAGAAAGTAATAGCTACTCCTGTGAAAACATTGTCACAAACAACAAATTCTGTGGTTTCTACTGTTCAGCCACCTGCTGTAATACAGGTAGGTGACAACTTCAAATCCCTGTAGAATAACATCTAGCAATGCAGAGAACTGAAGTTTGTGTAGATGCTTTCTTATTATTTYTAACTCTGTTACAACTTTAACAAAGTTTTTATCCTTACAACACATCTCTTTACTAAATGGCCCCTTTTTCCTCTAAATATGTAATTTAATTATGTTTTTGCCAGCTTGTCAAATGATCTGTCTGAGTTAGTGCAGTGTGTACACAGCGTGTACAGCTGTGTACATGCACAGTTACCATTGTACAACGCATATACAATRGTAATAAGCAATGTATAAAATCTGAGTAAAATAAATAGTTCTGAGAACAATTTCCTGTGCATTTGTGTCTTGTGACTGAGCTTCTTTAGGCTGTATCTGAATCTTTTCTGGTGGATGGAGGCTTTATAATGATACTACCCTGTGTGGGTTCCCTGCTACCTCTGAGGAAAAAATGTATTCCAAAGGTATGGCCAGATGGAAGGAACTCGTTCTTCGCTGCTTTCCTCTGTCAAGCTCTTGTTCRCGTGTCTGACCATTTTTCTTTATTCAAATCTGAGGGAAGGTGGTAGCTGARAACTTCTCCAACTAAATTGGACAGACAGGTTCCAAAGTTATGATTGTGCATAGACCATGTCCAGAAATTTCTTATTATTTTAGATGGTGTGTATCGTCTTAGGTCTTATATCTCTTCCCCATACCAGCACAAATGCTTTAGGACTCTTCTTTGCAATCTGCARAGTACGAGAGTTCTGGACACGATTCTTCTTCTGTTCTTAGACCAAGTCCTAGATAAAACGTGTATGATAAAGGAAAATAGCTGCTTTCTTCAGCTAAAGCATTCTGTTCTCCCCTTGATCCAGAAGACAAATTCTGTTTTTCATTTGTGAAAGAGCTTGAATGAGACTTGGYTGTAGCTGTTGACCAAGCCCTCAATAAATACATAGGATCAGTCATTCAGAAGAACACACAAGATATTCTTGACTTGAGGTGTTGGAGGGATGTAGGCACTGACAGCCCTCCCTGACAGCTCTAACAATCTGACTTACCTTCCTGATGCTCTTCTGCATTAGCAACTGAAAGCAATTGCAGGTCTGTCTATGATGTTCTCTCTCCCTCCTCACTGCAAGCATGTATTTTTAGGGTCAAGAGGGAAAACTTGGCCACTTGTTTTTAATATTTTTTCTGTTTTACTTAGAATAGAAAGAACATACCTTTTGCATCTAATGACAGGAACCTGTATCCATTATCCATTTTCACTGTGAAGCATTGGTTTGAAAAACATTTGTTCGTAAACTSTAGGTAGAGAATTTTAGGGTAGACAAGATAGTCATCTGCTACTCTTGCTCTGAGGAGAAGAGATGAAGGTAAAGATTTGTTCTGTTGGGTGGATAAAACTGCCARGGTCCTCACAGTCTAATGTAATAAATATTGAATTTTAATATGCTAATAACTTCACTAAAAAAGCTTGTATTTGCCTTTGTTCTTTATTTTTCTTCTCTACTATCTTAGTTCAATTTGATATAATCAGTTCAACCAATGTTCCCCTGAGGTTTTTGAAGAGGCAGATTTAGCTATACAATCTGTAGCAGTTATAGAGTTAGCTCTAAGCTGCAAGAAATAGAGCTCTGAGAAGAAATATTACTGCTTTTACTGTTTGTTTTTGGTTTTTTTAATGGTTTCTCTAGACCCCTCTTGTTCCTTGTGCTGCGGGGGGTTGTAATATCCATAGAGGTGCCTTGTACAATAAGACTTAGTTAAGTGTCCAGGGATGCACGTTGCACTTACAGGCCTGCTTTGCTCCTGGTGCTGGAAGGATGCAGTTTGTGGGACAGCTGAGAGCAGAGGGAGCTGACAGGTTAGTCTCTTGGGTTGCCAGAAAGCCCTGGGGAAAGAAAGGAAGAGCCATTTTTTTTCTGTCAATTGTTTTATTTGTCCTTCCTAGAAGAACTTGTTGATGTTGCTCTCCTCARTGTTTTGAGGTCCCAGAAAAGGAGCGTGGCTGTGGAGGTGCAACGCCCTCACAAAATGGGAGAGACTGAATAGGAAACAATGTTTAACTTGGTTGTATTTCTGTCATCCTATGCTAAGTGTAACCTGAAACATTACTTCAGGACTTTTTTTAAAAAACAGCAAAAAAAAAAAAAAACCCACCATTTGTTGTCATTCTTGGATGATTGAGCTCTAAGGTTAAAAATAAATAAATGAAAATATGCAAGTATTTTGTCTCATCTCTCTCCCAGATGGGATAGCGAAGTTGCAAAGTATCTAATTAGTATCATGCTGGGGCCCTTTCATTTAGATGCAAAGCTCTGCTCTTGAAATCCCTTCAAAATATGCGGGATTAATGCCATTTTTGTGGTGACTTTCGCCGTTGCTCAAAGTGAGAATGAGAATTGTCAGTAGCGGGAAAGGTTGAGGGCAGGTGACAGGAGCTAATTCCCATATAGTCATCTTCCTGGGAAAAGGGTCCAGCCGCCTTCCTGTTGTTCCCTCTCTCAGCTGATAAAATTCTGTTCTGGCCTCRAAGTGTAAACATAGTGGGAACTGCAGGAGAGGAGCTCCAGCAAGCCGCATGTTTTCAGCTTCTCAAAGCCCACAGCACCGCAGCGTGACAGCTCTGCACTCTGTCCCCTCCAGTCTTCTTCCCCTCCATCTGTTGGCGGGATTCTCGTGCCCAGTTTGCCTCCCTGTGGTCCCAGAGCTGTTGAGCCTCATCCTTGGAAAAGGCCGTGGTGGTGGCAAAGATCCTGCAGAGAGCTATTAAAGTGCCACCGGCAACGCGGGAGCCGCCGCCGCGGCGGCTCTGCTGCCTTCGTGTCAAGCTGGCAGCAGCCAGGGGAGCTCAGGGATGGACCTGCCTCTGGGATGGGAGGGGAAAAAGTGACCAAAGTACCTGTGTTTTGTGCTGGTTTTAAACGTTTGCTTGCTAATTTTCCCTGCCTGGAAAGATTCAAAAGCATTTTGATATTCTACAGACTGCCCAACCGTTTTTTGTTTTATCAGTGATAGGGCAAGTCGGGCTCTTATGCATTATTTTGACTAATGAAATGATCAGGTATTAATTTGTGATTGATGGACTAAACTGTGAGGTTTGAATGCAGTAGGAGTGGGTGGAATCGTGCTGCCCAGCACCTGGAGTTTGGCCTGCAGAACTGGCTTACCTCTCTTTTCAAGTTTTACTGGAAAGGTGCAGATAACATGACATCTACCTGCAGTTTCATCGCTAGCTGCTCTGCTTATTTCCATATCCTACAGCTTCAGTCTTTAGCGTTTTAGCTATCAAATAGAGAGATTGAAAGTTGTGGGGGWTTTTTTTAGAGGCAAAATATTACTCACATTCAATATTCTGATTCTGTGTCAAAAGAGTATTTTTTTCTTTGAGTCTRAAGTGAAAATACTAGTTTTTGTATATACATTTTTAGCAGTGCTGATCTTTGCCTGTTTTGCAAAGGTGAAAGACAGCTACATTGTTCTCCCTTTCTCTCCCCTCCCCAACTTCCCAACTTTCATCCCTCTCTTGTTTCTGGAACTTTCAAATCCGTGTTTTTTTTTTTCTTTTTTTTTTTTTCTTTTTTTTAAATTCAATTTGAAAATGAAGCGTAAGTAGTAAGTAACTAAATTTTGTGAGAACTTGTGCCTGGGAAAGGTCCAGGCTGGTGCTCACATGGAGGGAACGGCAGGAAAGACTTGTTCATTAGGTGTTTGTGCCTGGCTGGCTGCTTTTTGCTCATGTATCCGTCCAAAGCCGACCCAACGCACCCGGCCTCTTGCCTGCTCGATGTGTGATAGGAAGCATGAGGGTTACTGCAGTTGGGAGAGGAGGGAAGTTATTTCAAAGGAAGATATATAATCACCTGAGGTTTTACCTCTCTACAGAGCAGCATCACTTGGCTTAGTGTTGTCCAAAATTGATTAATCCTGGGCTGCAGAAGTCTGGCAAAGTTTTATGGCATTGGTTTGTTCTAATAACTTTACCTTTCTGTTTCTTCACTGGAAGCTACAAGCAGTTATCCAGACTGGATGAATCYTTGTTTCCCCTACCCTGCAAATAAAACCAGGGAATAATGGCTTATGTGGTTGTTCTATAACTTTTGTTATATTAAATAGGTTATATGTATATAAAACCCTTAAGAGGCACTGAAAGCAAGTGAATGTAAAACAAAACAAAAAATAAAAATACTTTAACTATCTTGTAAATAGCTTGGTAAYTTGGAATGTGGGAAGTGGGTGCTACTTCATATGCTGGCAGAAGTACTGTGTGTGTTTTCAAGTTGGTCTTTGATTAAAAAGTGTTAATTTTCCTTTTAGCCAGCAGCTGCAACAGCAAGTGTTACTGCAGTTACCACTGTAAAGCCTTCGAGTACTGGAACACCTGTAAAACTTCCAGCTACAGGACCACCTGCCCAAGCCATCTCCCAAAAGGCAGTCTCTGTGAAAGCARAGGGCACAACAGTAGCACAGACCAACACTTCAGCAGTAAGGGAAAAAAAATTTAATTAAAAATTAACATTCTCTATATTCATCAGAGGTTGGACAGCCAATGCATGACCTAACAGTTTTTTTATTTCTACACTAGGAAATGCTAGAGAATGTGAAGAAATGCAAGAATTTTCTTGCCACACTAATAAAACTGGCAACTAGTGGACCTCAAGCCCCTGAAATGGGGCAGAATGTGAAGAATCTGGTGCAAAATCTACTGGTGAGACTCTTCAAAGTCCATCGTTTGTATATCAATTTTAATTTTGTTCCTTGTCTTTCTGAACACATGGTGTTCTTTAAACAGATGAAAAGATTATTTTGGGGCAGAATACTTCATCTTTTAAGTCTTAGATTGTGATTTTTAACCGAATACCCTGCTTACCACCTTGCCCCCATTCCTRTTTCATTTTCTGCCTGCAGGTACTTGAGAGTCCGAGATTCTGGCAGTGTTTAGGCAGCTTATGGGGCTGAGCCCCTCCCCRCGTTAGTGGGGCTCTGAGCCAGGGCCCTTGTTTCTCCGGAGGCTGCAGTGCAGAGTCCAACGACTGTTGTGCTCCGAGACAGAGCAGCCTTTAAAGTTGACAGTGTGAAGCTCCAGTGAAGCAACTGTGAAATTATCTGTGTCTTTATAGAATGTGAAGGAGAGAATAAGTAGGTGGCTGCCCACCTCTGTGATGCATCTCTTGCAGGTGGCTTCTGGACACCAAGTTTGCCTGCTGTTCGTGGCCCCAGCTGCAGCTTCTTGATAGTGTTTTCTCCTATTTGGCATCCAACCCCTGCTGTTCTTTCATTCCACCTTGTGCTACAGGAGGGATGTGGCTGGGCTGGTGGTACTGAGTGAATTCTCCCATCCCAGTGTAGAAAAGTGCATTGTAGACAAGCGTGTTACTTTGGGAAACAGACTGTCTTAAGATAACAGCCTTGCAGAGGTGTGCTGCTGTCTGCTTCTGTCTCTGTGTCCCTGCTGCATTATACACCTTCTCTTGGACAATATTAGAATTATTCCTGCTTATGCTTTGAGGAGTTTTTAAAAAGTCATTATCAAGCATACATCATTGAATARTGCCTTTTTAAAGATAGTGCATAAGCAAACTAGCTGCTCTGTGTATATTTTGATATAAATGTAAAGTAAATTAATGTTTCTRTGCATGAGGGGAATGAGTAAATGGCAGCTGTGAAAGGAAGGAGTCCTGCAGGCAGTATTTTCTGCAGCGAGCGTCAGGCACCTCGCGTGTGCCGCTCGGTGCTGCAGATCACAGCGKCGCTACTGGAGGGTCTGTAGACTCGGGTGAGCTGCGTGCACCTCCCCAGTGAGGCCCAGCAGGCAGGAGATGGAAYGACTGGGTAGAGCTGTGGCATGTTTTGGTAGTCTGTAGTCCTTAAGCACCGTGCTCTGAGTGCAGAGCTCACAGCAAGTCTAAAGGAGGATCTGGGTGGAAAGAAGAGGTTTTCTGCAGAATGAGAGATCGCAGCTAGGAGCCATCCTCCTTTGCCCTTCTGTGCCTTCTGGAAGGGATAATGTACTTAGTGGCCTTGCAGTAGCAGCTAAATGGCAATAGCCTTAAACCCCCCTTGATTTAATAACTATGGACTCAACCTCACCATTGCCCTCCTTTAGTGGGTGAGAATGGGACCTGGTTTTGGGGTTACCTCCCACTAATGTTGGTGAGTGAGGAGGATGCTGCCTGAGGTGGTTTCCTTACCTCCTCCTGAATGGGTGTTTGTGCTGCGTTGAGGATGGTGCTCTGCAGTTTGAGCATCATCTTGCCTTGATGGTATGGAGAGGAGAAGTGGTCCTGACTGGTTTTAGAAAGGTGTTAACTATTCTGCTTTATTACACCATTTAACTAAATTGTTTTACATAAACTACTCCAGTTATCTCTTCTGATCCTTTTTCATTTTGATTTTTGTGTAGTTAGCTAGTTTTGCAGTTAAAAAGTCCTCTTGCTTAGGTTTTAAGTATTTCTGCCTGAAAAGGAGGGATCAGTGAAGGGTCCTCAGACAAATCAGGGTTACTTAGGATTTTTTTTTCCTATCTCTTCAATTCAGTGAATGAGCGTTTGAGCATTTACCCAACACCTTCTAAATGAAGAAAGGAGTTTAAATCTTTGATAGTGCCTCTGAATTAAAACATCATTCTATTCTAAAACCTTTTTGGTTAAAAAATATAAGAAGGAAAAAGTCTCAGATTACTGAAAATGAACATCTTCATGATAATTTAAAATGCCATGAATTATTAACATACCTGAAAAAAATAAACAACAATTTTGTACTTAGTAACTTGTGACTGTGATTATGCTTTCCTCTTAGGAAGCAAAAATTGAACCAGAAGAATTTACAAAAAAGCTGTATATAGAACTCAAGTCTTCTCCACAACCATACCTAGTTCCTTTTCTCAAGGTAAGTGTTTGATTGTGGATCTATAGTGGGGTTAGTGGCACCAAAATGGAAAAGGAAAGGAATGGAGGAACAAGTAACATAGTTATTTGTTCAAATCAGTTCAAGAAACTGTGCTTAAACTTATCTTTTGTGACTGCAACTTTTGGAAAGGCAGAGGTACTTTCGTGTGGCATTTCAGAGGGGTAACTTTACCTGCATTCACACACTGGAGACAGATACTGTTGCTGGGGRCTGCTTGGTTGGAATCTGGTCCACGTTGTGGTACAGCAGCTATAGTAAGATGAACTCTTGTTTTCCCACCAAAGCTGCAGCTATTCTAAATTCTAATACCTAACAGGACTTCAGAGGCGTATAATGCTTATAAACACAGCCTATGCAATGTTTAAATTTGAAACGAGCTTTATGTAGCTGCTGTAATTGTTGGAGGGTTTGTGCTTCTCTGTAGGCAAGAAAAAAACACCCTCCTCCCTAGAAAGCTTGTTTATTTAAAACGAGCAAACAAACAAAAAAAACCCCAATAACTGTGTATCCATTCAAGCAAATAATCATGTGGTTAAAAAATGCTGTACCAACTTTTTAAATCACATGAAAAAAATGGGGTTTATTGACARTCAAAACGAAAACATCTTTCTCATGCAGTATGTTTTAAATCTTAGTAAAAATATTGCACGTTACTTATATTTATGTAGGTCTTATGCCCAYTCTCTTCTGACCAGATGAGTCTGCTTTTCCTTGCTGTACAGTATAGACAGTGTAGGGTCGAGAAAAGTGAAGTGATAAAGCTGGGACAATTTCTCTGGAATTTCTCCTTTGTCTTGGTTCTTTGCCATAGATGTAATGCTGTCTGTTTACCACACGTTACAACTGTTGCAGGTGACTAGCTGTAGTTTGTTCAAGTWTGGGATGACTCTTTTTGTTTGCTTTGTTTCAATGCCCTTCTAAAYGCTCTGCCAAGCCTTTGGCAAGAGGACTAGTCATCTCTGCAATGTTTGATGGAAAGTCTTGCTAAGAGTACAGGCTTTTCAGCATCTCACTTGTACTGTTAGCAGTCTGTTGTAGCTCAGGCTTTCACGTGAGTTTCTAGAACAGGTCGTGRGACAACTGTAATACAGGTAGCTGTTACCTGTGGACACTTAAGCTTTTATTGTGGCTGCAGAACAATCAGGTTGTGAGTGCAGAGTCAGGGTAACTGCAAAGCCTTTTTGTTTTTTGCTTTTTTCCTCCCTGGTTCTGCAGGGTCTCAGCTCTACTGACTGCACAATAAGCTCTGCTCGGGTCGGGTGCCCCTTGCAGTGTTCCTAAAGCAGCTCAGATGAACCTCAGTAGCTTTGAGACCTGCCCTGGGTTTGKCCACCCCTACCTGTGGCTCAAGCCCTGACAGACCCGGACTAGTTCCTGCAGAGCAGTCCAGGGGCTAGGCTCACTTCATGACACTTGCTAGCACTGGAGTTCCCAAGGATTTCCTAGCTTGGGCACAGTGCTATCCTCATATATTCATGTAGGCTYCCTGCTAGAGTTACTGGGCAATCCTGCAACGTGTATTGCTCATATATATGGTGCAAAGACCTTGTAGCAGTTGCACAGTAGTTAGGCCAGCCCGTGTCAGACCTGGACTGGCCTCCCACACAGCTGCTGCATGATCCTGGGGACTGGTACCGTTTAGGCCTTCCCACTATGGGGAGCATCTGGGCTCCTGGSATGCCCACTAGCGTGGGGCGCAGCAGAGGCAGCGCGTCCTGACGAYCAAGTACTGAACTTCAAAACCAGCATCACTTTTCAGACACTGTCTTGGTGGAAGTTACCKGAACTCAGTGTGACCCATCCTTTAAAAGGTCTGGTATCATGCCTGCTTTTGTGCAGGATACCTCAGGAATCTGGTCTATATCACCTGCAGACTTGCTTGGTATGTAACTCTGGGCAGCTGTGACAAGACTGAGTGCAGAATAAAGCCTCACTTTGTTAATGCTTCCGTTAGCTGACGGGTTGATAATTCACTCTTAGCCAGCAAAATGCATCTCTAGGGAAGATGCTAGAGTTGGTTTAAAGTTACTGGAAGTCTGCTCGTCTTTAAGACATGGGTTTGGGGTGAAGTTGGAGAGTTGTAGCACTTTTTTTTTCCTTTTTCTTTCTTTTTTCTTTTTTTTTCTCCCTCTTCTTCTACTTGGTATGACAGTGACTTGGCTGCAAAGGCTACTTTATTATTATTATTATTATTTTTAACCTTCTCTGGATGCTTTTGGTAAATATATTGCATGAGAAAACCTAGGTGTCCTCTTAAAGGAAACAAATGTGCCATAGACGGTCCAGACAGCTCCAGCTAAGTGGATGAATGATTTTCTCACTTAACGTATTGGCATGCTTGAAGTTCAGAGCAAGTTTATGCTGAAGACTCTACAGACATGAATGTTTTTCTCACAGTTTTTGAAGTAAGGGAATATACTGGTAGCTACAGAAATGACTTACCCAGTTCTCAGCCTAACAGATAGTTCTCTTTAACTATTTACAGTCTCTTAAAGGACTTGAAGACTGTTCTGTTCATTGGCCTTCTCAAAATAGTTTTACTAAAAATGAAAAGTTGCCAGATAATCAGACTAATGTTCTGAGAATTTACTTGGCTCAAGTTGTGCTGCTCCAGCTACATATGTGTCTATAATTAAAGTGGTATCCCCCCCTAGTGTAGATACAGCTGTATTGATGCAGAGCTTGTTCCTGACTTTATTGGATAATTTTTAGCTCTCTGAGAGAAGCTCTGTGGAATAAACACAGCTGTTATACAGCCTTTGGTGAGGGGGCAGTGGCAAATCAAAAATGAATTTCTGAAGTAGTCATYGAGATGATCTTTCTTGGAAACATAAATTCCAGATTGAAGCAATCTAAATAAAATAACATAGACTTTCTAGATAGGATTTGTACTGCATGGTAAAGCTGTGGTGACTGACCTTTCCTCAGCCTGTGTTAGTGAATCTTGTGATCTTCACTCTATGTTATCTTTATCCATCTAAAAACTCTCGCTAAACTTTTTGTTTGGAATAACCAATTGAACATCTCATGGAGGGGAAGGGGGGGAATAATTGGGAGGTGAGAAAGGATTTCTGTGCAATGTGTGTTTTGTTGTTTTGTTTTTCCTYCTCTCTTCCAGAAGAGCATGCTTGCCTTACGGCAGCTCATGCCGAATGCTCAGAGCTTTATCCAGCAGTGTATGCAGCAGCCAGGCCCAGCCCCAGAAGCTTTTCCAGTTTGTACCTCGGCAGCACCAACCCCTTCTGGAGCAGTGGCAACCTCAGCAGGAGCAACCGCTTCTCTTCTGACCCTAAAACCAGCGCCTGCTTCCACAACAGTCACAGCCTCTCCAGTTTCAAACCCCATCCTTTCCAGTGCTCCTGGGACAGCCTCTCTGCAAGCTGTGAAACCCCTTCTTGCCCCTGCAGTGGGGACAGCCTCTCTCCGGCCCGCGAGCCCAGGCTTCACCACGACAGTGGCGACGTCCGCGCTGGCTGCAATCCAGACTGTAAAGCCGGGCTTCGCTTCTGCGGTAGCAACATCATCTCTTCAGCCTATGAAGCCGGTGCTGGTCTCAACGGTGGCAACTTCTGCACCAACTGCTCTGCAGCCTCTGAAACCAGTCATTGGAACCCCAATCAGTATTAAAATCTCACAGCCCAACGCCGTGGTTGCGCAGTCAGTTGGTACTCCGCAGGTGGTTAAAGTGAAACAGTTGGTAAGATGAATTCCTCTGCTTCTTGTAGCGTGGCTTATTGGCTTTGACTCTTTATCAGTTTGCCAAGATGATGCCAGTTGGCATCTTGGTCTTTTTTTTAATAAACTAGTCTGTTGCAAGTTGACTAGTTTAGTCCATCACAGCTGATTTGTGCTTGATARATGAACTGTAGCCTCATTGCTTGATCTGAGACTAGTCTGCAGCCCTCTCAGCAATGTTGAAAGGTAACTGTCTTTCAGCAGATGTTGGAGCTGACGCCTATGGATGTTGAGCACTCGCTAAAAAAGTGCCTTTAAAGTCAACTGTAACTTTGGGTCTCTTGAAAGATTCCYTGGCCGCCATTTCACCAGATTTAACATCCTGAGTGTGATGGGAGTTGAATTGGAGTTCTGACTCCTGGTGCTCACACAGTTTCACCAGCCTGGGTATGAAAAAAATGTTTGCATGAGATACAGAAAATGATGATGAGATGTTTCCATTAATTACCCTTTGATGCCCTGTTAGGGCAGTATCTTAGTTAGCCCCAAGAGATTCCAATCTCTTTAGACTAGATAGCTTGATTGTAGATCACTTGGTAGTTTATATACTGTTTTTTTTTTTTTTTTTTACAGGCATAATTGACTTGATATTTAGTGATAGGGCTTTTGTTATCTAAAGTGTAGGAACTAGCTCAAGGTGCTTTCCAGAGCAGAGTGCTGACCTCCAAATTTGCGAAGACATGTTAATTGTAAGTCATCAAAACAGGAGACTATCGGGGCTCGTTAGCTAACAATTGCTGGAGGAATTTATGGCTTATTAACACTGCTTCCGAGACTGTTGTTTTAATGTTACTATATCTTGGCTCAGGATAACTTCTTACTAACCTGCTAGGCTGTGGAGAAGGAGTGTAACAATTACGGATCACAGGTAGATTTAACATACTGTATAATACATTAAGTTTAGTTTGCAGATGTACTGAATAGTGTGCCAGGTAACAGGTTTACTGAGGAATGTTCTCAGGTTTATTGAGAGGCTTCTTTTCTTGTCATATCAAGAACTCTGCTTGAATAGGACTTCCTTTTAAAGATTTGCTCCTTAAATTCAGGGGGAAATGTTAGACTTCCTCTGAAACTRGATTTACTTTCCATTAGTATGGTAGGGCATTTGATGTGTGAATTTCCTTTGTAGTGTGGTTACTGTGATACTTGATTTAACCCTTTAGAGCCTGAAAGTGTGTGTTGCTTCCCTATTTTCTTCTTTTCAAAGTAGGTAAGAGGTAAAACAAGAATGATGCAGTCTAAATAAAGAGCTTATTCTACCAACATTTTGTCTTTTCAGACTTAAAGAACAAAACACCAAAGTACAGGGGCTTTTTTTTTCCTTAAGTGTGGATTTGTACAAAGTAACTTGCTGAGAACGTGCACTAATCAAGTTTAATAGTAGCCATGGCCAAACTGGAAAAGGAGTTGCTACTATTTCTATCTTGAAGGACTAAATTTGAAATTACAGCCAGAAGAAAATGAGGGCTTCTTAAGTCGTGTAAGGATTGGAGAGCAGTTTGGCTATCCAACAAGCCATGTAAYCCAGGGGAGAGGCTGACCATCTGTGCAGATGGATGAGGAAGCTTAGCTCTTCACAGGGGAATTGAGATGCTTCTTGAATATGGTCTTGGTGAACTCCTGAAATGACTTTTGTCTCCTCCACAACTGCAGTGTGGCAACCAAATGCAGTTTTTCTTTTCYGTACCTTACAAACAATAAATCGTGTACAAAACTCCTTATTCTCATTCAGGTGAATCCTGGGCATATTGGTTAAAATATTTCCTTTTTAAATACCTGTTGAAATTTGGCCTTCAATGGGGTTGAATGGCCAAGTTTAACACTTGGCATTTTAGACATATGAGGAACTTAGTGTTTGTTCTGGCAASTTATCAACTCAATGAGCAAGTTCATAGAAGTGAGTACATCTTGCAGGGCTTTTCTGATGCCTTTCCTTTTCAAAAAGCAGAGGGGGACTGTTCCTTCCCCCCGAAAACAAGTCTAGGATCTAACCTCCCGAAATAGAAGGATGCTGCTGCCAGCTGACAGCAGCTGGGTGCCAGCTGTGCACATCTGTGCATAYGAAGCCACCAGCCTTTTTTGCCTTTTTCCAGCCCTCTGGCTGGTCTGACGGCAYGAGCTCCCTCTGCCTGCCCGCATCTCATTTGGCTCTGCCTCTTGGGGGACATGAAGCCAACTTCTCCTGTGCCTTCTTAGGGCRGCTCTGCCACAGAGCTGATGATGCCGAAGAATGCAGTGCTGCCGTCTTCTCGTGCCAGTCCCGTGATGTGATTGATCTGACACGGAGCTGTGAGGGTTTTTTTGTTTCGTTTTTCCCATAAATTTTAGGGTTTGGATGGTGAACATTAAGGGGKCAGTTCTTGATGAACGCTGTTGGGTTTGGATTGAGCATCTCTGTTGAGTTACAATAATATCCTTTCAGTTTCTTGTTGAGCTTGAGACATGCGGAAGCCAAATCTTTAAGAAAATGCAATTTATTCTTGGTGAAAACAAATGGAAGCAAGTGTTGGTGTTCATACTAGTTCTAGTTTAAGTGCTGTGTGTGATATTTGCCTCTGTCAAGAACGAGTGTTTATATTCTGGAATATATATATATATATATAGCTTGTGTTTCTTTCATAAATCTTCATTTTTGCTTTTGTTTTTTTCCTTCAGAACTGTATGCTCATGTCTAATTCTCAGATATCAACTTCAGCTCAGTAGTTCTAAATTACAACTGCTATCTACTACTGCTACCTAAATTATAACTGCCAACTCGTGTAAAATGGCAGATTGGTAGCTGGCATATATATATGGCACATATATATATATTTTTTTTTACACCACAGCACCTCTCTTCTTGTGAATGGGTGGCACTTATGCTCATGGTGTTAGCCGATAAATCTGAAGCTAGATGACAAAAGGTGACAGGCGAATTTTTTGAAGTGTAGTAAATATGTCAGTGCCTTTAAATTGAATTCTGTGCAAGCACTTGGTAGACTTTCTGAAGTGACAGTAAAGGACTTGCAGAAGACATGGTTTCTTGGTCCTGAAAAATCCTTCATATTGGCTTTTTGCCTCTAAACAACTAATATTTAATCTGAAGATGCTGATAATTTTGTGCTTTGATAAGAGGATGTTAACTTCTGTTATTTATCGTCTCATTCTTTCTACTACTTGTAATGAAGCATTTTTCCAAAGGATGTATTAAAATTTACAGACCACACTTCATTAAGTTAGGAGGGGTAGAGATAAAGTGTTTTAGGGATACTATAACTTTATTACTTCCATTTTAATTGCTATCCCTGCAGGGGAAAAAATACTATTTATGAGCTGTGCCTGTAGATCTGTTTTTATGATGACATCCTGCTGCCTGGTTTTGTTCCTTTCGAGAACTTCTTTAAACAGCCACCTCATCTGCCCTTCCCTGGGGTGCTCATGTTTGTGTGTGGAGACTGTGCTTGCTATAGATGTTGCTAGCAAGTATTTCATGTTCTTTCCAGCTGGTGTGTTCAGCTTAGTTTTGCTTCACACTTTTAARCTATTTACAATTGATCTTGCAGCCCCAAAAATGTCCTAGTAACCTCATTGTGCGTACTCATGATTTAATTTGTGGCAGGGAAAGGACTGCATGCAGGATTTTAACTGAATGCATGTATGTTAAGAAACTGTATGTTACTGAAGTTTTTGACACACTCAATTTTCAATTGATAATTTGTTAAACAAGACGTTTACCAAGAGGAAAATCTGTTAGTGCAATGGATTGTATAGTGTTCTATGGAACTTCTTACATGCCTATAAGTGGGGAGTAGGGGTGAATTGGAGCTCTCTGGACAAGCTGCACCTTTAAGCTCCCCATGGTTATTAAGATTTATTTCTTCATATGAAGTTTTAAAAAGAGCCTTTTCTGTTGGTTTTTGAGCAGGCTGTTTGTTGTAGGCTGAAAGGCAGGACATGCATGCATGCCCTGCAGTGCTTCCAGGTGAAGGAACATGCTGATGCTATTTGCTTCTCTGTATTTTTAGCTCTTCTCACTCTTGAACGTGGATATTCTACTTCCAGGTAGTGCAGCAGCCATCAGGAACCATTGTAAAGCAAGTATCCGCACCCCCACGGCCCTCAACGCTGACCTTCCAGACCTCCTCTGAGAAGAGGATGCCACTGAATACACTTGTTCAAACAACTAACCAGTTTCCTGCAGGTATGGCTGAACTTTTTAATGGRCGCTTGAGAGAACAGCTGAGGTACAGCAATATGCATAAGTAATTGGAAGATTATAGATTGCCAGAAGGTGCTTATTTATCAGAAGCAACCAAATCTGTGCGATAATTTGAGTATCTTCAGCTGACTGCTCGGTGTTCTGGTTAGAACCTCCTCTAATACTATGTCCCCCTCTCTTGCCTGTTAAGAACATGTTACTCATAAGTATTTCTGCCTTTTAAAAACACTGTGAGTAAGCTTTATTGGAACAATGGGACTTCTGAGTGTTGCTTCTTGAGTTCTTCCTTCAGCAGTCCRGGACAATTGCATTATATAATGCAAGCTTTATCTCAGCTAGCCAGTCTGGCCTGAAACCACCTTTCAGCAGTCAACACAGAAGAAGACCTGTAGAGGCTCTGACCATATGGAACATRTGGAGTGTAGTCCTCCTGAGTGTCTGGTTTTCAAATAGAGCTGTTTGCTTGCCATAGTCTGCAGCAGCCTTTGGTGAAAGTATGAGCTGATTAAATGGTTGTCTGGCTTTCTGCTTTCCATTGTACTAAGTTCTTTTTTGTTTGGTTTGTTTCAGGTTCCATTCGGAAACAAATTACCCTGCCAGGAAATAAAATTCTGTCGCTTCAAGCATCTCCTGTTCAGAAAAATAAGATAAAAGAGAATGGAACAACATCCTTCAGGTAGAAATAAACAATATGAAAACTTCGGTATAGGAAGTAACAAAAGGAAGGGACAGCAAGTATGACTACAGAGCCTAAAAAAATTTCATTTTGACTTATGATGGGTGTTTTATCATGTAATACTAATTGACAAGGGAGAACCTAAAAACGCTGACCTCATAGCAGACCTTACTTATGCTTAATATAACAAAACTCTCCTCATGAGTTAGGGTTTACGTGRTGCTATTTCCAGAATGCACGTATTGTGATATTCAGTATGTATCAGTTTCAGTTGTAGAGGATGCATATTGATCTTGATCCTGTGAGAACTATTAATTAATCTAAGCAGTAATATCTTGTACTGAAAACTCTGTAGGATGAGAGCGGATACAACTCTGCTTTTTACAAGACAGATGGATAGCATTTTACTCTAACTTGGACAGGCTGGCAACATGTTAAAAGCCCTGTGCTGTATTACAAAATCCTTTATTAGCTCTCCTTAGAAGCTTGTTCCTGTGGGTGGAGGTGAACATCTCTGGCTACACCTCTAATTGTTGCTGCTGGCATGCTCTCTAGGCCCTTACATTACAAGAATACTCCAAGCTTCTAGTTCAGGTAACTGATTAACTTTTCACGAGGCTAAATGATTTTATATTTCTGACATCTAATGTTGGAACAGAAGTGCAGATTAACATAAGCAAAATGTCCTATGACCTTAAGGCAAACTTTAAGTTAGTCTTCTGGGRTAGGTGAACAAAAGTGGAAAAACCTCTACCTTGCTGAGCAGTTGACATCTCTTCTCTTGAAACTGTGTACTGATGAAGCAATAAAATTGTAATTTTTAGTAACATGTAGTGTACGCTGARTATTAAGACATTAGAGTCCAGAAGCTGGAGCAAAAAGCTAATGTTAAATAACTCAGTTTTCTCTCTCAACCTCTTACAAAATATACCTTCAGRATACAACTTGAAATGTAACTTTCTGTAGTGATACTTGAAAATATCTTTATAAGTATTAACATTAAAAATAAACTTTATAAAAAATTTTCCTCTGACCCTCCAGTCAGTATATGCYAATCCCTGGATCTGGGAAACAGAGATTAAATTATTGAAGCTCTCTTGAACTTTCAAGTTCTCTGCACAGTTGCTTAGAAAAACTCTGGCTCCTTTAAAAGTCTTTAAAAGTTTAAAAATTTGTGCTAGCATGTGTCTTTTATAGGTCGGTCTTCAGAATATATAATTCTTGCAAGGTTTTTGTCTTTGGTGCCTTTTTGGATACATCTCTGAGTGTTCTTCTACTTTCTAGTAGAAGAAACTAGTACTTCTTTCTAGTAGAAGAACAAACTTTCAGACTTTAAAAACTACATGCAGCAGTCTTTGTTTGCACCTAAACTTTTGATTTTCCCTGGATCAAGTATTGAGGTTCTCCAAGCAGCCCTGGTGCCACGTAGCTTTAGGTTGGCCCTGGCAGGCGCCTTCCCTAGAAGGCAGGGAAGTGGCTGGCTCCCTGTGCCCAGCCTGCAGYGCCCAGCGCCCAGCCCGGCTGCTTGCTGTGGTCTGCTGCCCATCAGCCAGCTTTCGGGCTCTGCTCGCTGCGGCTGAGGCCACAGCTTGCAGCTGTGGTGACTTTGCACRTGGTGTCTGAAGCTGGGACCTCTCCTTGCAGAGTGTCACTGAGCTGGCGCMCTGTGCCATTGCATGACTCAGTTGGGTCAGGGTTTGGGAACGTAATCRTTAAGCTGTGCTTAATGAGCTGCAATTTTGCTTTCTCTGCTATTGAATGATTTTTTTTCTCCTTGTTAAGGATACGTAGTAAAAAAGGTGGATGCTATATTGATTTTAAAAATGCCTGTWAGAAATCGGAAGACCTCAGCTAAGCTTGGCTTTAGTTAAGATTTGAAAGGGCAGTAGCCTGTAGAACATCCGGCTTCTGTACTCCATGCCAGAGCCTCTGGAAAAAGTAGTGCGCAAATAGAACAGTTTTGCTCAAAAGCACTTATCCTGATTTTTGCGCGTTGTCTGGAAAGCAGTGTAAATCCCTGCCGRCCAAGCACAAGGAGAGATGCAGCAAAGCCCAGAGCACCTGGCTGGCTGCCTGCGTGTCCCGGCTCCCCTGGAGTTGTTGGGTCCCCCGTACTGACTGGGGACAGCGCTCCAGAGCTCTGGGTGCAGCGGACTTTCCCGCGYTCCCTTTCACTGATGTGTAAAATGGAGCGCGCAGATGGATTCGGGAGCAGCGTGTGCGGTGCTCGAGCAGCAGAGGGTGCCCCAGGCTCACTTTTAAGCAGTGTAGTGGGGTTTGTATAGCAAGGTTTGCATTGCTTTGGTTTCTTTTCCAATTGAGTGTACTGCCTGAATGTCAATCTGATTTCATACAGAATAATTGAGCTGTGTTCAGCTTTCCTCTTTATCCTGATAAGCTTAAATTACTAAAGATTTGTAACAGTTACTGATTTTTTTTTGGAGGGAAGGCGGTATATGACCTGATCTAGTGTAAAAGCATTAAAGGAATTGCTGTGCAAGAGAGACTTTGCATGTGCACACATACTCTGAAATATTTTAAACTCATTAATACAATATTTTAATAGCTTATGCTAAATATATAGTAACTTACTAAAGCTGATTGAAGTTTCTTCAAACAGCAAGAAAGGATGGATCGTAAAAGTACTTAGCCTGGCTTCTGAAATGTTTATTGATCTCCGGTGAGCGTCACATCTAAGGAAGTGTAAATGATGGCTGTTTGGGTTAAGTAAAAGGTGCAGAATTTTTTGTAGATATGAATTAATTTTTCAAGACTAGTGACTCAGCGACTTAATGCAACGTCAGATCCCAGAGTGAGAAAGCTGAAACCTGTCTTTAGCAGAGTTGTCTGTGTAGAAGTTCTGACTGAGTGTGCTAACGTGAGAGGAAGCAATTTTTTGGAAAGGAAGAAAACAGTAACTTGATAAAGGCTAATTTTAGAGACCTGAAATATCTTCATGTGGAAACACAGAGGGCAAGTTTTACCTGTCCCCTTTTTGTGCATTTGGAGCATGTGGCCAGATTGAAAGCCAAAAAAAAATTAAACTGCACTATGACATTTTACCTGAGGTACAAGCATCTTTGCTGAGAGAAAGAGCCCACCAACAGCTCTGTCTGGGCAGTGTCAGGTTTCAGACTCTSCAGCTCTGATAGCTTGTGATGTATATTTTTGTTGCTAGTTATGCTGATTTTTGCAGTCTCCTGAATCAGCAGATCCACAAGAGTCATTGCCCTGCAATGGGTTTCTCATTTGCCACGACTAAACACTTTTGCATGTAGTATCAGYGATCATTAAAAGGAAGAAAGTGGACTGCAGTTGTGAAGATCAGTTAGCACTCAATTATCATGCATAGAAGCTTCACTTGCACACTTCTGGAAAGATTAGGATATTCTTTAGGCTGATAGAGGATGAGTGCATCCTTGGAATTGTTCAGTTGCTTGTTGTGGGGTAGCAAGGGAGAAATTTTCTTATTCTGATGGCTTCAACCTTAAGTGCTAACACTGGTCACTTAACTCTTCTGGCAATCCTGGGATTTGCTGCCCTTCTTAACATAACAGATCTGGGACAGAAGTGTAGTCAGGAAGTCTGATCTAGTTAGACCTAAATGAATGAAGCGACTTGAGAATCTGTTGGGTCTCCTGTTCCCTAAGTGTGTTATCCAGAGGCTGCCTAGCCATGACAGTAGACAAATGAAAGGCAGGAGCTGTACAGAGCAGGATTCGCTTCTTAGTCATAGGTCTCTTCAAAGTGTTTGAGAGAAGATTACTGCTATAGAAGCCTATTAAAGCCCTAATAAGAAAATGTATCTAATGGTTAAAATGACTCCTTGTATGTGATTGGAATATCACTCGCATCCTTTTTCTTGTGACTTCAGCTTATACCTGTTGCCAGCCAGAAGTCAAAGATCCCATTTTTGCCCACGACTGGCAAACGTCTGACCTAGCCCTGGTTGAAGAGTTACTTAGGTGTTTTCTGAAGTGTTTTCTGAATATGGTGTTTTCTGAAGACAAGTTTGCCAAACCTTCTCCCAATTCCTTTCCAGAAGTTTTTGTTTCTTTTTGAAAATCAAGGGCGATTCAGATRGAGAGATTCTACTTGTCTGTATACATATTACAATAGCCGATTGTAGATTGGTCTTTAACTMTTGAACCTATCAGAGGACCTTTGTCATTTTGTGAAAGAAGGCGGCTTCTCTTGGTAATATAAACGTGTGTCTGAAAATCACTTGCATTGTTTTGCTATTGAATTTCTACAAAARCTTTCCTGATAGGAGTCGCTCGGTATTTTAGCTGAAATGGTCTTTTCAAAAAAAAAAAAARAAAAGAAAAGAAATCAAAACCCTCAAAGACTATACAAGCTATTTGTTTAATTTGAGCTTTGCCGTAGTTGCAGCTGTTAGTTATGATGGCCTGAAGCATGTCAGACATTATTTTTTTTTTTTTTTTTTTTACTTTCAATATTCAGTCTAAAATTGCTGGTAGCAAAATCTAGGTAGCCCAGAAATACTGAGACTAGAGCTCTGCTGCTGTCCCAGCCACTGGAGAGGTGTAGTGTCCTCTCCACTACCTAGGTAAGGACCGCATAGTAGAACCATTTTAAAGCGCAAGATCTGAGTTGGTTCATCAGTGAGTGTGCTAAACAAGGGGCATTTGTGTCTCATTTCAAAGAGAACTCATTAAAAAAATGAAGTTTAATACATATGTTCTGAAAACTGCTGGTCAAATACAGATCTCATTTCACAGTTGTTTATAGTTTAAGTCAGTGTTCAACTCATCAGGTAGCACCAAATGTTTCTTTAGAGCATCTAAGTTAATCTGGGACTTTCTGTGGACTTGGCAAGGAGCCTTGGCTTTTTTGCCCGCTGAACATTGTTGCTATAGGATAAAATAATCTACTGTTGTAGGGGGTAGTGACGAGGGGTGAGTGGGCATATATAAGGAATAAACAGACCCAGTTTACTTCAGTCTTTGGTTTCTGAGATTGCTTAGAACTTTACTGTTACCATTTTCTTTCCTGTAAAGAAATTGTGTGCCTAGCACATGAGGCATTGGTGAGTCAGTGAGGGGAGGCACTTCACTGAAATGTGAAAGGTTTTAGGGGACAGCTTYCCCCCTCCCCTCCTACACTACATGTGTACAGTCAGTATAGAGGTAACTTCCAAGGTATGTGAATGTGCCTGCTTAGAATAACCAGGCTTTTTCTTTGTGTTCATTATGAATGAAGCATAATATGTTGTATTTTTTTTCTCTTCAGTAAAGATGAAGATGACATAAATGATGTGACTTCTATGGCTGGGGTCAATCTTAACGAGGAGAATGCGTGTATTCTGGCAGCAAATAGTGAGCTCATTGGCACTGTGATGCGTTCATGTGCGGATGAACCTTTTCTCTCCTCAGAAGCTCTTCAGAAGACTATCTTGAACATAGGTGAGATCACGTAAATAATATGTATGTATGTAATACTTTCTTATCTATCTCTGGTCCTCAAAGAAGGAGCCATTAAGGTCTGTTCCCTTGACTCGTGACCGATCTATGCTAAGGTGGTGTTTGGCCTTCCAAGAAAGACAAGTGCTTTTGTTTTACATGGAAGCTGTCTCACAAGAGGCACTAGTACCACTTTTGCATGTGAGATGGATGTRAGCACCCTGCAACTCTTCAATCTAATGCTCTTGTACTATGCAACACATCAACATATAAATGTTGGTGTCAAATTCTTAAGCCTGCTCTTCTGTTTCTGCAGCTCCTAATGAGACATGTAAAAAGCTGCCCCTAGGCTATGAAAGGTAGTTTGGCATCTTCAGCCTATTCAGGTATATACAGTGTAGAGCCATGTTACACATCCCTCCTGCATGATTCGGAAGAAGTTTCATACTGTCAGTATGCACAGGGCAAATCTTAGTTTTTCACACTCTGTGGAAGAGTTTTATACAGAAGAATCGTCAATATTATTTTATCTGCATTAGAGTAATACTGTGAATTGTGTTCAGCATCTTAGACTAAAATGTGATAGGAAGGTTTTCCATAGACATCTGTTCACTTGTTGGTTTCTGTGCAAAACAGAACAGCTGTTTGGCAACGCAGCATGAGGTGAAAGCAGAGAGTGCACATTTGTAGAGCACGTAACAGGATAAGAGCACCATGCTGCTGCTCCTGCCCCTTACAGCAAACTGCCCGAGTGTTGCACAGTTCTTGGCTAATATTCTCTACCTAGAAGCCTGCCTTCCTGCAACTGAGCATTTGTTTTTATGCACTTGGGACATGCTGCAGTACATCCATGTAGTGAGAACCCTGCTGCAGTGGTCCAGCTGGGTGTACACGTAGTGTTTCTCTGCCTCTGGTTCAACCTGCAGCTTGTTTGCAGTCCAAATGCAACAGCTAGTCTGTGAGCAGAGCACGTAACCTGCAAATGCCATCCCRCTGGTTAAATAGGTCCCAAGCTGGTTAGCAAATGTGCCATGTGAGCTGTGTGGAGCATAGTTGAGTGAAGTTGGTGTTAGGTTGGTAGAGGAAAAGGGAAAATACTCCCTGAAAGATGTTGGTGTCTAGGACGCTTCATCAGAATTCAGTAGAGTTAACCAGCACCCGTTCAAAGCAGGTAAGAAAAATAAAAATCTCCAAAGGCTTAAAGAAAATATGCTTCTCGAATAATAGTCCCTTCTTGATGTAAACTTTCTGTTAAGACAGAAAACAGAAGCATGACTGTTTCATAACTTTAATGCTAGCTAATCTATATTAATAGTGGTTTGAATGTAAGGCAAGGAATAGTCAGACCATACAGCAATTCAGAACGTGAAGTCTCCTGCTCTCTGAGGAGTTTGGTTCTTTCTGTTGTTCTGCTTTAAGCGGCTTTATTTCTGCTCTTCTGATAGACTAATGGAGAACTACTGAGGAGGTTTCAAAAAATGCTTGAGCAAAATCAACTTTTCACTGAGATAAATGACAGCCTTCGACAGAGATCTTGATATTTGCTGGATAGGAGCAGGTTGTGGAACATTCTGATCATATGTGTGATAATATCATAGATTCTTCCTGCGAGATTACAACGGGGGAAAATGAACAATAAAAGCAAATCACATGGGGGTGGAAGTTTTTTTGCAGTGTACTGTTTATTCCTTTTCATGCCCAGCTTGACAATAAATACCAAAGTGGATTTAAGGGCATGGATTTAAGGGCTGTACATGGCATCATAAAGCGTCACAGCCACGGCAAGTGCAGTGAGAGGCGGGCAGATGAGCCTGCTGACCCGTGCTGTGCATCAGGTCTGCAGAGCAGCTGTCTGTCCACAAAGAAACAGCGGTGCCCAGCTCTCCTGGTCGAGCTGCACTCTGAGGTTGGTTGTGTCACCCTCTGGAGAGCTGCTCCATGGCCATCTGCGACYGTGCGGAGGTGACGGGCAGCCCTGGGCATAGGGGCCAGGCAGCTCTGCGCAGGGCCATCGCCAGCCTCGACGGCAGCTGCTGCGAGGTGGTGGCACGGCTGGCAGGAGGGGCCGAGGGCCATGGCACCGTGACCCGGGCWGGCTGGACCTGCCTTTCCCAGGCCGCTGCCTTGGGATTTGGGCTCGGTCGGCCTGGTTGGAGGTAGGTGAGAAGGACCTGCATCCYTGCACGTGCAACGTGCTGCAGAAACCATCCCTGTTCGTTGAATAAATGTCATGAGTTGTTAACAAGAGCGGTGTCAAGCAGGGCAAAATGTAATTCTCTATTTTTTTTTAATTACTGAAATTAACAGAATATGGCACTAATTTCTACTGCTACCGTTTCTCCCCCTCCCTGAACATGAAGCTTGATTTGTGTTCTTATTAACTTTGTCCTATAAATGACCTTGCAAGGAGAGTGATTCTAGAGGCTAAGTGAAACAATGTCTGTATTTTCTGAAGCTCCAGGCTAAGTTTTATTAATGTAATGTCTAAGATCTTTGAAGTTGTGACTTTACCAGGAAAATCGTAATCTCCAAACCTTTATTCATAATGGGTATGACTTCCAGGGGGAACAGAATACCTGCTGTGCTAATTATTTCAATTATCAGCTACTACTAAAACATGTAATGGATTTTCTCTGCTTCCACAGGTAAAAGGCATGACATTATGGAACTTAACTCTGATGTTGTGAACTTGATCTCCCATGCTACCCAGGAGAGATTACGAGGGCTTCTAGAAAAGCTAACTGTAATTGCTCAGCACAGAGTATCAACCCATAAGGTAAAGGAAATCATTAAGCAAGTTTTGCACCCAAGTTTTCATGCTTGGCCGCCTTGAAGATGAAATTCTTCCATGTGTAGGCACATCTTATGTAATATGTACATTTTCAATACCTGACAAAAGGTGGTTTTGTCATAACTATTTATAGCCTCTACCTACAGCTGCTGCTTTTTCGTTTGACTTGTTAGACACTCTTAAAACCTAGATTACATGCAGAAGTGAGTGCATTCATTTATTTTCCATAGAAATGGTGATTGTAATTTAAAATCCCTGCCCCCTGGTAGATGTAAAACTGTTTCTGACTCYAATCATCTGACTGTTTTGACTAGGGATCAGCGTTTCCTTATGTGTTTGCTTTCAGTAGAGATGCAGTAGAAGTTGACTTCAGTAGAAGYTAATTCTGACATCTGTGTGAATTTGTTATTTACAGAAGCTTTATCCATACTTGCAGTATGACACAAGCAACTGTTAGGGTAGGAGTTCAACTCTGGAGCAGACATGCAGCCTTTAAAATCCAGGAGAACGATACTGGAAAAAAAAACAGAAAATGCTTGGAAATCTTCAGGTATTGATAGGAATATCTGGGACAGCTGAGATATAAAGAGGACATGGGAAGAAAAAAAAATCCAATACAGAAAAAGCGTACAATTKTCTATGTAAAGTCTAGAAATTTTACAAATTCTGTGTTGTCTCCCTAAAGTGGGAAATCTGATAAAGCCTGGGAACAGAGGTGAAGTGAAAGCTGCAGTCTGGAGGAGCTGCTGCGGCTTAGTGTCCTGCAAGCGTCAAAACCAGCAAGGGAGTATTTTTGGACAGTGAACTTCTGATATAACTGAATCCTAGGATTTCATTATCCTAGGAGAACTGATAGGATTTTGATGACTGACAGAAGCAGAGATAGGATTGCCAAGGCTGCGACAAACACTCTTTCCAGTTTCTTAAAAAATAAAGTTGAAAACAAGTATATTATAACAATTTTTCCAGCAGGAAGATAGTATTACACCATAGAGGAGTAACACTACAAGGATTGCCCTTTTAAGTGGTCCCATGTGAGTAATACTACTGTGATAGATTTCTTAAAGCTTATGAGCAGAACAGCGTATAGAGTGTTATTACCTACTTAAATAGTCCTCTATTAGAGGACTCTATTACCTCTTAGTCTATCTCTTCCAAGTTCTTTCCCCTTCCCTATTCTTTCTCTGGGCTTATTTGAAATATGGATTGCTATGTATTTGAGACTTGCCAGAGACTTTACAAGAGGACTGGACAGTTCCCCATGCTGACTTTTTTATTGGCTTATCTTCATTACATGCACTTCTGTGACAGGTCTGTTGGTGACACGGCAGGTTGTGTTAGGATAGAAGTTGTTGAAAAACATCAGTAATTCACGTGGTAATGCTTGGGGAACTCTCCCCTCTGCTTTGCTGAGTTCATGCYCAGTGGCCTTTACCTGATGGCCCTTAGAGAGAGAGTCTACCAACAGGTACATGTCTGCTTTTGCCCTCTTTTACTGTGTGTCAAAAGCTGAATAATTGGAAGTTATGAACTTGTGAACTTGTGTTAATTAGCATAAAGCTTTCATGGTGGCCTCRCTATCTAAAGCGAGGAATAGGAATAGGCTTTCAGACTCATATGGGCTGACATCTGTGGTGCAGCTTTTGTTGTGGTGCCCGTATTTAGGACCGGTAAGACCACAAAGGTGACTAGCTGGTTTGGTTCACTCCACCTCATCAACCCTTCTCTAATCTGGAAAACTGCTGAGATAAAATGCTCAGTTTGACATAGCATGATAGCTGAGAGCAGAGGTAATGACAACTGGACAAAGCAGTGAAGAAAAATGTTTTTGGTGTGTGTGGATTCTGCATAATACAACTGTTCATGTTCCTGTGCTTGGGGTTCCTGAACGTGTGGTCAGTCACAGTGTGTGGTGGTGCACGTTTGCCTCATATGCAGGAACAATAAGAACTGGAAACTCTAAATTGTCCTGGGAATGTGGCAGTATGTTGTGGCAGCTCCAGAGCTACGTTCTGTRTTGCCCCTTAAAGCAAGAGGTGCAAGGGGTGAGCCCTTTCAGGCTGCCACCCTCTCCCTCCTGCCCTCAGTCAAACTGCAGAGTACCCAAAGTAACTTTACCAGAAGGTAAAAACAGAAAGATCTTTTAGTTTAGGAATTGAATATAAATGGCCAGAGCTCTCTAGGTTGTTCCATAACAGCTGAGTCCCGTCCAGCTTAGGGCCTGGCTGAGCTTCCATATGCACCATCTCTCCTTTCKGAGCCCCTGGACATGGGATGCGCTCTTGGTGCCGAACAGCAGSCGACTTGCTCAGAATTCAGATTCACTTGCAAATGTGTGACAATCTAGAAAGAACATGACAAGTGGTGGGCAGGGCTTGTACAGCTGCCTTTGAACTCGTTGCCAGCTATCTCCTCACTGAAGATGTACCTGGGAATGTTTTGCTATTTAGTGCTGCGTAAATATGTATAAACTTGAGGTTAAAATTTTGTAACAAGTTGGCCACGCTGTAGAGTGCATCTGTGGAGTCATCCAGAGCATGTGGATTTCTCATGCGGTGTGAAGGAAGGAGTTTCAGGATAARATTGCATAGATACCCTAGTATGTTATTGCTGTTTGCGAATAATAGCTTCTTTTGAGACAATTAAAAAAAAAAAAAACTTTTAAAATCCTTTTTTTTCTTCTATCACTTTGAGTGAATTCCAGATTAAATTTAATTCAGTTAAAGGGAAAAGGATTTTTGACCATCAGCTGCACAAGCTCATTCTCAGCACATACAGACAGCATGCTCAGATTTGTATTGTGGCTACTTGCGCTATCAGTAACTTAAATTTGGTCCTCAGTTGCATTTGCATCACCCCAGTTTTCAGTGGGGTTGCACTGCTGTGGCTGGGGACAGCTTGGCCTTGCAGAAGGAGGTCAAGTTGAATGAACGAAACCTGAATTGAGCTWGCTGCCCCATAACTATGTTATATCTATGAATTATATGCATGTTTAAAAGATTTCTCTTTTTTTCAGGCTAAGCATATACAATGCTAAATGATCATGGAAGATGAGTGTATTTATTAGATATGTTAAAATATAACTGAAGCTATTCTTCTCTTAAAGACCTTATTTGGAGAATCTTCACCTATTGTTGAGCTGAAATAGCGTAACGACCCTTTGTTTCTCRTCACCTGTACGATGCTGCTTACAGGACCACGCTAGGATGTTTCTGGGTTGCTGGCATTTCTAACGGGCCCAAAGTCTTTCATTTGGTTTTGAAATGTAAATGCTTAGCTCTGAATTGTGGTACTCTAAAGTGAAGAAAGAAAAAAGAAACATGCCCCATGGGAGAAAAGATATATAGATGGATACTTCACATCCATATATTTTTTAAACAGTCTACATTTATTTCAACTTTGAAAAGATAATGCTGTGCTGTTTGAGTTGTTCTGTGAGTTTGTTTGACCCAAGGTAGCTTTTTAGCAGTGTACATAGAAGCCTGCTTGTCTATAACAGAGGTCTCTTTCCAGGGGAGTGATAAATACATCATATCTAGTGACACTAGAGCTCAGCTGCGGTTTCTTGAAAAGCTTGATCACCTAGAAAAGCAGCGAAAGGATGAAGAGGAACGTGAAATACTGCTCCGAGCAGCCAAGGTAAGAACTTCCTGTCTTCCTAGGAAGTAGTGGTGCTCTTCATATTGGTGAGTGTCTGCTGGTTGCTCCAGTTTCTATAAGGTCACTATTAACTTTGCAGCTAAAGAGCTTTGTTCAGGATAGCTCAGGCTGTTCAGAGAAGCCTTTGAGCTTTTTACATTTTTTTAAATATGACAGGAGGCCAGATGACTGGTAGAAATRATATCTTCTGAGAGCTGCTAACGAAGGACAGAAGTCTGTTGACATTCTTATACTTTTCTGTATTTTTATCTCTGCTGCTAAAACATTATGTCTCTCCTAATCTGTGTATGACGTTCTCCCAAAACATGGGTTCACTGTGCTTGTTAGTCTCTTGTGATCCAAGGCCTTGCTGGGGTGTCTGCCTATACTGAGATCAGAGAGCTAACCTAGGTCTTRAGCATCCCAGTTCCTGCCACTGTTGGTACAGAGTAAGCATCCTCTTTCCCCTTTCCTCTTACCTTAAAAACAGAAAAGAAGCAGATCTGTAAATGTTGCACCATGAGATGCAACTTGATCTTCTGTTTATTTTACATTTTTTTTTGCTTTGCTTCCACATTCACTTCAGGAAGGGTAATCTCGGCTGGAAGGAATCCTGTTGTACTTTCACAAGTACAACTTCTTTTTGTACTTCCTGTCCCTCTTAAGTGTCTGCTACTGACATGAACAACATCATGCCTAGACTGGACCTGACCGACAGCGTTAGCATCATTTTCAGCTTAATCTTCCTTGAGGCAACAGCAGAGGCAGCCAGCCCAGATGAGGAGGGGGAGGGGGCCCGTGTGTGCRGTGAGGGGGCAGGGAGCCAGTCTGGATCGAGGCATTCGCCCCTGGAGCTACATCTTTCAATTGCAAGAGAAAATTGTCATTTATTAAATATTTAACGGATGCTGTGGTGTTTGGATGCTCGTAACCTCTATTCAATTTTTCTCCTCTTCCTTTGCTAGAGTCGCTCCAATAAGGAAGATCCAGAGCAACTGCGTTTGAAGCAGAAAGCAAAAGAGGTAGGAGTTGCAAGTTACCATGCCTGCCTTTGTGTTGAGAGAAGGTTGGCAGCCCTGTCCTGGCAATTAGGTCAGGGTTTATTTTGCTGTTGCATACCATTTGCAGAGGCCTTGGGGAAGGACAGGAACTGCTGCAGGCAAGGGCAGTACTTCAAATGAGGTCAATGAATTATGAGCTCTCTCTTTAACATTTTATTTTCATAGTTTGGTTCTGTCTAGAAATGGTTCTTTGTAAACTACAGCAGCACACTTGGTAGGAATATAATGTGGGATTAGAGAAGAAAAAAAAAAAAAAGAAACTTTGAGATTTAGCATCTGGGACTGTACAATAGGCTGCATTTTTCCAGGGTAATTGTTCGTTTTGTAAATCTGATACTGCTTATAATTCTTTGGCTGGGAGGCGGTACTGGGATTTAGTTTTAAATGGAAAACGCCTCTGGCTTTTAATTTTCTGGGCCCAGCAGTTTTCTGTTCTGGAATGGAGCCCTTGTTTCACACAGTTCATGTTTAGCTGCAGGGGTTTTAGTTTATAGCTTAGACTGGTTAAGCTTTTACTCCCAGAGGCCTCTGCATAGCAACTGTAGAAATCAACAAATAAGTTCATTTATGTCTGCAGCCTCCTCTCAGTAGCTGACTTTTTACATTTCCCAATATCCATTTCCTGACTTTTCTAGCCTGAGAGAAAAAAGCTCCACTAATTGGAGCTTATTTTAATTGAGCCTTAATATTGGATCTCACTGGAGTTGCCCCCAGAGCTACTGGGAACGGAATGAAATGAAAGTACCTAAGGTTGAAGATGTGTGTGGATGTGTGTGTGTGTGTGTGTGTGTGTGTGGATGTGTGTGTGTGTGAAATTTTTCACTTGACCTACAGATTCTTTTCGCTGCTGAATAAATCATCAAGCCTGTTCACATTTCTGATTAAGGATCTGACAGCAGACGATAATAAAGACAATTGAGGTGTGAGATGTGTGATACAGAGCTGAAGAAATTGGTTTCTATAGTTACTTGACTGATTTCATGCAATTTTTAAGGATCTTTGTGCTAAATGAGAATGATTTTCTGGGCAACCTTTTTCCTTAACTGTGCCTCTTGAACTATGAAATTTGTTGTTGCTTAACATTGCTGCGCTTGGCTCCTAGGTGCCGGCAGCAGCAGCAGGTTATTTATGAATGCTTTAAAGGCCCTTATTGTTTGGATTAATGTAGGAGCCGAGGCAAAACAAATGGAAATCCAGTAAAATAGTCTTGGAATCAATACTCTGGATTTCCACCAATGTAGGAAAAATGTGAAATGAGAAAAGGAGAAACCTGTTTTACTATCTATCATTTAATTATTTTTTTTCTTACAACTGTTTCCTTTTCCATATTTATAATTTGGAAGTAGAAAAGTTGACTTCGAGCCATCCTCAGTCTGCCTGCAGGGTCACCAGGATCAGCAGGCGGTGGCTGACCGCTCGCTTGGAGGCTTTCATAGGTGGTTCTACCTCTGCAGTGTCCACCTCCCTTTGAACACTGCAAACGTTGCATGATTCGTTTGTGCAACTTCTCTTCTCATTTGAACAGTAGTATATAGGAACCTGTATAGGAACTTAATCTTCTATGAATTAGATACTWAGAGAATAGTTAGGTGTGTGTTTCAYTTTCCCATTTAAAAAAAAAAAAGTATTGTCAGGGAGATGTCTTTAAAAATTTACTTGGAAGTTTACAAATAGGAAGCCAACAGAGTGGAGAAGGCTATCAGTTTAGTGCTTAGAGCTCTATTAAATTCTTGAGTTCACATCCTTTAGTACATCTTATCTTGTGCCAGATTAGCACAGCTTTCATTGCACTTGTTTTGCATTACCATAAGTTCCCTACTGCTCCCTGAGTGACTGTCTCCAACTGCTCCATCAAAAGCAAAGGAAGCAGATTTGCCTCTAGATAACGCAGGTCTTTGTACTGGTATGCAGGGCCCTCAGTTCTGTTTTGTTCTCCTAAGAATAAGGCAACCAGCACTTTGAGATTTCAATTACAGCACAGGCAGCTAAATTTCTGTGCTGTGGATTTTGTGTGCAAGTCCATCTTGAGCGGGAGTTTAAATGTGCCCGAATGTAACTGGTTAGTTTGATGCTTCAATGGCAGCTTGGAGATAAATTGTCAGCGGACTCGTACATTAAAAATGCAAATGTGAGCAGAACCTGGAATAAGAGCAAAGTAAAAGTCAACAAATACCCCAAGGCTGAAACTGGTAACCCAGAAGCCCAATGTACACTGAGATACAAACTTGGGAAGCCTTAGCATGGTCTTGTCAAGTTACGAGTTCAGCTTGCTCCAAAGAAACCAATTTGCCAGGGAATTTTGATACCTCTGTTAGCTGGAATTGGATCATTTCCTTATTTTGGTTGAGTATCCATTAGGAATGCTAATCTGATTTCTCTTTTTGTAGTTCTGTAAGGAAAAAAAAAATAATATAGGTCTCCCTGCTTCCAAGTTGGCTTTTCTATGTTAATGGTGATCTGGGGAAAGGGAGAGAGTGGGAGGATGCTGGCCCTGGAGGTCCTGAGCATGTTCTCTAGCAATATTTCCCCAAATGTAGGGTGTACATCATAACAACAAATATTTGTATATCCAGGATATAMTGTCATCCTCTAGCTGGAGGCAACAACTTAGAATTGCTGGAAGTACATCCAGAGACTTGGCAATAGATTCTTTTATCCGAAAGGCTCTGCATAATTGCTGTGACCTTTCTGTCCCTTTTTGTGTGACCTATTACCTCAAACTTCCCCTGTGCTAACAGTCACTTATTTTCCTGTGGTCCTCGTCTGTGTAGCTTGCWATGAATTAGGTCTTTATTTACTTCCCCCTTTCACCTGTTTCAGCAAATTTTAATACCTACAGAGAAWGCATTCCTTGAGAGACAGCTGCAGGGCTTGCCTGGAGCTGCTCCTTGATCCACTCAGGAATTTGGTCTGTGCTCACMTGCCAGGCCGGCCTTTTGTGCAGCAGCATTCCCATTCCCGCAGCCTGTGCAAATTGGCCCTGCTTTTCATTCAGCCTAATCCGCCGCTCCTGGCTGAGGTGCAGTCCCTTCCTTGTCACTGACGCTTCTACTTTAAGTCTTCCTTAGGTGCTTTCTGCCACTCCTTGTTCTACTTTCAGTTGTACTTTTAGTTACAAGAAAAATATTCAGTTGATGGGATTCTTGTAGCAGTGCTGAGGATTTATTTAGCATTATTTCTCTTGTGAATTGACTTAAATTGAGCCAGTACAGGATGCTCTCAACTGAACAAGCAACAGAACACCACTGAAGACCTAGGAAAATGTCAGTATGTGCCAGTGTATATTGTGAACTTAAGTGTAAACTCTGATCTTTCATTCCTGTCTCGTGCCCTGGAGACGGGGTGTGCTCGCCGTGTCCGCTTTCGGGAAGCGCAGCGCTGAGGCTGGGCCGAGCTGCCAGCCGGCCTGCGGCTGCTCCTTGGCCCTGTGCGAGCAGCGTCCCGCGCTGGCCCTCAGCCTCTTCCACAGAGCTGCCTGCACCTCGGCCCTTACCCTGTGCCGCCCTGCGGCCTCGCTCGCTGAGCGGCTGCGACCCTGGCAAGGGGCAGGAGCGCGGGGATGGAGCGCAGGGATGGGCCCTGGGCCCTGCCGCTCCGACGGCTCCAGTTTCATAGGCGTTCACAGGCCTTGCTAGTCCCTCGTTCTCGCCAKCTTGAGGTACTTGCACATTTAAGATTTTGCCATGAAAGTTACAGGGCAGCAACAGATGAGGTGYGAAGAAAAGGCTCAGTGCCTTCAGTCTTCAGCTTGGGAAGAAAATGGCAAACCCTAACTATCTATCAGGACAAACCCTCCAGCAAAATCGGTGAAGAAGTCAGCATGATTTTGGAGAGTTCCTGGGTGTCRTTTAGTAATGATTGGAATTCGCTTGTCCTGCAGTACCTCTTTTCAAAAACAGAGTGGGGAAAAAGGGAGTTCTCACATGCTCATCCCAACTGTCTTTCCTCTTAGCTTGCCTTATGTTCTCAGGTAATGCAGGGATGCAACAAGGAAGGCCAAGCCCCATCTGGAATGAGAGTTMGCAAGGGATGTCAGGGACAACAGGAAGGGCTTCTATAAATATATCAGCAGCAGGAGGAAGACTARGGAAAATGTTAGCTCGCTGCTGAATGGGGAAGGTGCCTTGGTGATGGAGGATGCCGAGAGGGCAGAGTTACTAAATGCCTTCTTTGCCTCTGTCTTTACTGCTAAGGCTGGTCYCCAAGAACTACAGAGGCCGGGTGAAAGAGATAAACAGGAGAGAGGAAGACCTTCCGYGGGTTGAGAAGGATTGGGTTAGGGACCACTTAGGCAAACTGGCCACCCAAAAATCTATGGGCCCAGATGGGAGGCACCTAAGAGTTCTGGGGAACTGGAGAGGGTTATTGCTCAAACTGCTCTCCATCTTTAAGAAGTCGTGGAGACCAGGGGAGGTGCCAGAGGCCTGGAAGAAACCAACATCACTCCAGCCTTCAAAAAGRGCAAGAGGGAGGAGCTGGGAAACTACAGACCAGTCAGRCTTGCCGCTKTCCCTGGAAAGGTGATGGCACAGTTCATCCTAGAGAACATCGCTAGGCATGTGGAGGAGGAGGAAGTGATTGGGAGTAGTCAGCATGGATTCACCAAGGGGAAGTCATGTCTGATGAACCTGATAGTCTTCTGTGATGGGAGGACTGGCAGAATGGATGATGAGAAAGCCAAGAATGTTGTCTACCTTGGTTTCAGCAAGGCTTTTGACACTGTCTCCCATAATATCCTCATACGGAAGTTCCGGGAGAGTGGAGTAGACGAGTGCACGGTGCGGTGGATCGAGGGCTGGCTGGATGGCAGAGCTCAGAGYGTGGTCATAAATGGGGCCGAGTCCAGCTGGAGGCCTGTGGCCAGTGGTGTCCCCCAGGGGTCAGTACTGGGCCCAGTGCTGTTCAACTTGTTTATCAATGACCTGGACGAGGGCACGGAATGCACCCTGAGCAAGTTTGCA